CCCTTGAATCAATTTTGAAATTCATTTCTTGTTTTCCTTTAAACTGCAGGTATGATCTCATCCCATGCCCCCCGCCCCAGTTTTGTAAAGTACACACTATCCCCCTGGGTGTTTACCTTGTGCACAGCTGAATGTCTTGAGCAGATGTGTGTGATTGTTTGGTATTAGGGCTCTGCAGGCTGCCTTCTGCTTGGGAGTCTTAAAATAAATGAATCGAAAGGGCTTAATCCACTTAGAGTGCTTTCCAGAGGATGTTTGAGCCTTGAATTTTCATTTAATGATGACAACAACATATAACCTCCTTTTTCAACAAATACGAGGGTGTTATATCTAATTCGTAAATTATCACTGTCCCAAAGATAATTTGCACACTTCAAGTGCATGCCATGCTGAGTTATGGTATTCCAGGAACATAAACCAATTTGCAGCCTTATTTCAGGAGTAAGTTTATTCATTTGCCAGTAGACGCATACTGTTCACAGGACGGCAGGTTAGGCATTATGAGGAAATCAGAAATAAATGAGACCTTTATATTCTTGGGGAACCTATTGTCCTCTAGGGTCGGTAAAACCTTGTATATGTCATCTGAGGTAAATGACAAGCTGTTGGAAAGGTGAGCTGAAACACTGATGGGGTCCCTAGGGATGAAACAGCACTTTACTCTGGAGAAGGTGAATTTTTTTCCTAATTTGCCAGAGTGCCTGCACTTAGACAGAGAGACAGAGATGGAGGAAGAGCGAGACAGCACCCCCAAAGGAGTGTGGTCACACAGCAAAGGAGCATGGTCACACAGCAATTTCTTTGGCCTCCATTTCTCCATCCTGACAAGATTTGGGGCATGCACTCAGTGTGTTTTTTGTTTCTTTTTTCAAACTGCCAGACCCAGGATTCAAATGGCACAGCTATGTGGGATCTGGCTCCTTTAACCATTAGGCCATGGAGCTAACCTGAGGAGGTGAATTTTTAACTTAAAGATTCATTAATATTTAGACAGGTAAAGCAGTTTAAGGAATGACTTTCTGAGCTAAAATAAATGTTTATGGGATATTTTGTGTTTTCAAAAGATGGATAATGGAGCCTCTCATCACTTCAATAATGTGCATATTCTTTTTATTGTCTGGGTATAAGTGAGCTTGAATAATTGGTAAAAGTTGCTATAAAGAAGTCTTATTCCATTTTGCTACCTTTCTTTAAATTTAAAAGCAGAATATTTTTTATAGCCTTTGCTGTCTTCTATTGAAGAAATCCCTTCATAACTCCAAATTCTGGAATACCACCATGATATTTCAGAACTCTGAATGTACTTTTAACGGCCATCAGACAGAAGGCAAGTCGGTCATGATCATTATAGAAAGGGTCATTGGAAAAACCATGACATATTTTTCTATGTTTTTGTGTGCAAAAAATGTGTCATGACTTTTCTGATGACCCAATAAATAGTTTAGTTGCTAAAGTAGGAAAAGCGTCTTGTTACTAGGTAGGTCCCATGTCCTGAACTTGAAGACAACACAGAAACCAAGCCACAGTCACCCGGGACTCCCTGCTACTCCCATACCCTCTCCACTAGACCATCTATGTCCTGGGCTTGCGGCTGACTGCCTTCTCCCTGGTGCTAGTTCAGACGTACAATTACCCGGTGCCTCTGGCTTCTGCCACTACTACCTACCTGTAGGCTGGGGTTTGATTTAGATCAGATGAGTAACCATGAAAATCTTATCCAAAATGACATCTTTGCAAAATTTGTGTTGAAAATGTTTTATATCTGGTATCTGATTTGGGTGGGAGTACTGAGTGTAAAACACACACACACACACACACACACACACACACAGCTTTCATACAGATGTCTTGTAGTTTCTGGCTAAAATCCTGACTAAAGTCTAGTGATAAGTGAATAGTAACTGCGTAATGATGTCAAAGTGAACATAAATAGAACTAGTAAAATCTCTACCTGTAGCTGTGGTCATCAAGGTTCAAATGCCAAAGGAGACTTTAAAAAAAAAAATCAAATTTGATGCCATTGAACTATGGCATCAAATCTATAAAGTCCAAGAACTGTATGGAAATTAAATTTGAGTTCCTTGTTCCCCCCAAAAAGCCAGCCAGACTCACCACCTTGAAGTGCTTCTTCGCATTATTATGATTTTTTTGGTAAGACAGACATTCATTATGAACTCTTTTGTTGAAACAGGACAGCTGGGAAGTGGTGGAAGGACTGAGAGGGGAGATGAATTATACCCAGGAGCCACCAGTTCAGAAAGGATTTTTGCTGAAAAAGAGGAAATGGCCCTTAAAAGGCTGGCACAAGGTAAGACATTGGCCTTGTCCCCAACTTCATTTGCGCCACACGACTCCACCCTACCCTGTTCTTAGGCACTTACATATTTTCATTTTGACTTCAAAACTTGGACTCAAGGTTTGAGGGGGGCATTTAAAGATACTGTTATAGTCAATTGTACTTTCTTCCCCACAGAGATTCTTCTATTTGGACAAAGGAATCTTGAAATATGCGAAGAGTCAGACTGATGTAAGTGTTTTTGTTGGTCTAACATGCTGCTAGAGAGCCCTGAAGGGGCTAACTGCTGTCAGCTCAGGGATGAGGTGGTGCGCACCGAGGAATCCAGCTCTCTGAACTGGAAACCCTGCAGGGTAGCAGTGTTGCCAGGTGGAACAGAGATGCCTGCTCCCCACCACCTGAGCTCTAGGTCCTAGGTGGGCTCAGTTCCCTGCCAGGGAGAGGTGCAGGAGCCCTTCCAACATCCTACTGGGTATTTGAAGGTCTGTTCTGGTCTCAGGGTTGCATTGAGGGTTTTTCTGGTTTCAGAGGACAACCTCCGAGCTAGATAAAAAAAGGAACAAAACCTAGAGCAAACGTCACTCTCCTTCTTAGGGTAATTGAAGGCTTTGGTGAAGGCTGGGATGAAGGAGAAGCTCTTCTTCCAGTTAATGTTGGGCCCTCGGTCCCTGAGAGCTCTCAATAACAGTGTCTTGCTTCTTGCAGGGGTCCTTTCTTTCTCCTCCTCTCTTCTAAGCCCTCATCCATACATTTTTATTTAAATCACTTCTTAGAGGGTTTAGATAGCAGAAACTAATGGGGGGAGGCATTGCAGTTAATAGACTAAATGATAGGGATCAACCCTTGGGATTACTGTCTTGCTTCTTCACATACTGGCTGTGTAAACTAGTTGTTACTTAATCCCTATAAACCTCATCTCCTCACCTGTATAAGGGAGGAGTGCTTCCTACTTCCCAGATTAAATGAGACCATTCACACACAGTATTTAACTCTCTACTGGTTCACGCTAACCACTTGATAACTTCTAGTGCTTCTGTTTACTACCAGTGGGTGGGGAAGGTGAGGGTAGAGGAAGAGTGTCAAGGATGTTATTACTGCACTTAGCACCGTGGTTCTCACTCAGGTGTCTCCCTTTGTGCCTCTGCAGTCAGAGAGAGAGAAGCTGCATGGCTGCATTGACGTCGGGCTCTCAGTGATGTCTGTGAAGAAGTCATCCAAATGTATCGATCTTGACACCGAGGAGCACATCTACCACCTGAAGGTGAGGCACTTCCTGGGTTGTGCAGAGTTTATGGTGGGAAGGGACCATCAGTTAGTAATTAATGGTGATGTCTTTTGGCTCTTCAGCCAACATATGGAAGATCTTCATTACCAAAGTGCTTCTGATGGATACAATTCATATTCAGATGGGTTAGTTTTTGTGCAGAACTGTGCTCACACTGCTTGAAAGTTGAACATCTTTATCCCCTCAGTCCCTAAAGATCGCCTCTCTCTTTGAGTGTTTGTGACAACAATCAATAACAAATCTTTATAGGACTGGTAGTGGTGGGGCAGTGGTAATGCAGCCCTCTGTGAGGCTAGACTCACTTGGAAAACTCCAGGTTTGTGTCCAGAGGCTCCCTGTACATGCTGGGTGTGTCTGTGTGTTCCTGTGACGAGGCTAGCTGAGGCCGAAGTAGATGGCAGCATGAAGATGTTGGGATGCCTGTCTCTCTCTCTGTCTCCCTCATGGAAAAATAAAATATATATTTATATATTTTTAAAGAATTCTTTTATTTAACATTATTTATTTATTCATTTATTTCCATTTGACCGGACAGGGACAGAGCAAGAGAAAGAAAGAGAAAGCGAGAAAGCAAGCCGTCAAGTCCGGGACTTGAACCACAGTCAGCCATATAGGAATCCAGCACTTTCAACCACTAGCCACCTGCTGGCCCCAATAAAATATATTTTTAAAAAATTTTTCATGGGGGTCAACAGATGGCATAGTGGTTTCATCACTGGACTCCCACATGGTTGACCATGGTTTGAGTGCCAGATCCAGCGGCTTGAAAATCACACTAAGTGTGTGTGCATGCGTGCCCAAGATCCTGGGAGGAAAATGAGGAGAAGGGATTGTGGGCTGGCTATCTGCCCTGGGGAGTGATTTTTCACTTTCTGTCTCACTGTCTTCGTCTCTCTTTCTCTCCCCGGCAAGTGCACACACCCTAAAGCCAAAACCTCCAAAAAATTTTTTTTTCATGTTTCCAAACCATCACCTCCTCACCCATCCTTAGCAGTACCATCGTCAGTGAAGAACCATATACCGCAGATTAAAATACGTTCCTGAGATACAACACAGATGTCCCCTACTTACAATGGTGGGACTTAGTATTTTCGGACTTTATGATGTTGTGAATGCAGTATAGCCATTCTATTTTTCACCTTTAGTGCAGCGCCCAATAAATTACCTGAGATAGTCAATACATAATTATAAAGTAGACTGTGTTAGGTGATTTGGCCCAACTATAGGCTAAGGTAAGTGTCCTGAGCATTAAGGTAGGTAGGCTAAGCTATGATGTTCGGAAGATTAGGTATATTAAATGCATTTTGACTTATGATACTTTTCACATGCAATGGGTTTATCAGGACATAACCCCATTACAAGCAGGGGAGCATCTGTATAATATTTAGTCTGTGGAGCCCTGTCTTATAACTGTATTATAACTATAGCTGATTTTGTAGGGATTTCATTAAAATTCTCATAGTGTAATGAAATGTCAGGATTTTTTTCTCAGAGTGAGGATCTCCAAAAAAGTACCTCTCAAAGCTGTTTAACTTCCCTCTTGTGCTCTCTTCACTATAGGTAGTATAAATGATTGAAAGCATGAAATATGGGGGCCTGCAGCTGGTGTGATGGTTAAGGTTGCTGGACTTCCATGCAGCCAACCGCGGTTCGAGTCTTGGACCTGATGGCTTGCTTTCTCACTTTCTGTCTCTCTCTCTCTTTCTTGCTGTCCCTCTCTGGTCAAATTAAAATAAATAAAGTTAAATAAAATCTTTTTTTTAAAAAAAAAAAAGGCACGAAGTTTGAGATCCAGATCTGATTCAGCTTTTGACATGGCTACTCACTACAGCACTCTCAACCACTAGCCACCTGCTGGAGACCCACAAATGTCTCCAGACATTGCCAAGTGTTCCCTGGGGGAGTAGAATTACCCTTAGATGTGATTGACTAGTATGAGATAAAGGAGGGAGAGTCCTATAATTTTTTTAAAAATAACAATTAAAAAAGAATATCTCCCTCATTTTAATGATTGATCTCCTCTAGAATGTTTTGGGTTATGTATATACTTTCAATGACACTTAGCTCTGTATTTTGTTCAGGAAATAATAGCTTCTTATTTATCCACTATTCTAATTAACAGAATAACAGTAGTTATTAATTCCAACTTATCTTTTTAGGATTCTTTATTTAATTTTATTTATTATTGTTATTATTATTAGGTTTAGGAAGGTCATGACATATTTTTCTATGCAAAAATGCATCATGACTTTCCCAACAACCCAGTATTTTTCAATTTGGTATACCACATGTCTGCTCACCAGAGAGACACACAGAGCGAGATAGGGAAAGTGAGAAAGCAAACAACCAGGTCCGGAACTCAAGCCGTGGTTGGCCATGGGGAGTCCAGCACCTCAACCACCGCATCGCCTGCTGGCCCTATTAATCCCCAACTTTGAACAAACTAGAATATCTTAAAATCATTGAATGTCATGGTAAAGGCAGTTTAGTGTTGTGTTGATATGAGTAAGCTGTTTGGTTTCTCTCTGTTCTTTTGGAATCAGCTGTGATGATCAGTGTCAGTAAGTATTAATAGCATCAGTCAGGCCGTTTTCATGAGGGCTGACTGGTCCCATTCTTTTTTTACATGTAAGTTTTTTTCCTTATTTGTGATAGAGCACATGAGTGAGAGAGAGAAATGAAGTATCTGGTCACACCACAGTCCACTCCTTCCCGTCCTTCAGCCTTTCAGATCCTGGCCATTCGTGTGTGCATGCACCTACTCAGCATGTTCAAGACCAACCAGACCAGGGACTTGAACTGTGGTTGCCATGTGGTTTCCAGCACTGCAGTCCTGCATACTATCGCCTGTGCTCCATGGCTGCGCCTCATTCTTTCATTAGATCTGCACAGCAGAAATGTTAAATGGCTGTTCACTCAGCATCCCAGAACTACTCGAAGGGCTGGAACAGAACCCTGGTCAGTTATTTAATGAAGTGCTTTTCTTCTGTCTTGGTTAACTCATAAAATATGAGTCAGGATGAGTGCTTCGGGACTGATTTTTAAGGGCCTCTGAGAATAGGTCAGTGCAAAGGGATGACACAAGAGTCTTTGAAATTCTTCTTAATCACATCTGGGAAATGAACTACATTTCAGGAACGTAGTTGAGTGGAGACAAAGAGATGTGAGCCTCTTTGTATTATTTCTTCCTGTAAATGACATATTTTATAGCACCTGGAGGGGTTTTTGGTTTTGTGGGTACTTGTAATCAGCCCAACTTGTAATCAGCACAGCTTGTAATCGGCCTAACAGTTCTTCAATGAACAATGATGACGACATTTACTTGCACAGCCATACTCTCAGCTGTACTCTCAGCTGTGGTATTAGTAAACATTTCACAGAACTGACCTGGATTTTTCATCTCAGTAGTTAACCTACCATGCATGCATCCCTCTGGGTTATTTTACATTGTAGTTTCATAAGTCTCTGTATCCTAATGTATGGACGTGTATCATTTTTCACTTTGAAAATACATTCTCATACATACACACATACTTTTTTGTTTTTCTTAAAGATTTTTGCCATATGGTGCATGACAGAAAGAGACAGTGAGAGGGAAAGTAAAAAATCATCCCCCAAGGGAGATAGCCACACCACAATCCCTTCTCCATTGTCTGCCTGGGACTTCAGGCACACACGTACCTGTGCCCAGTGTGATTTTCAAGCCACTGGGTTCAGTACTTGAACTATGGTTGGCCATGTGGGAGTCCAGCACCTTCACCACTATGCTACCTGCTGGCTCTTTTATTTATTATTTTAATGTTATATTCTTTTTTTATTTTTATGAGAGAGATTTTTGCTATAGGGCACATGTGCTCACCAGAGAGACAGAGAAAGACAGAGAGACAGCAAGCAAGAAATTGCCCCCCCATCCCCCGGAGAGATGGCCACGCCACAGTCTCTTCTCCATTCTCCTCTTGGGATGCTGGGCATGCACGCACATGTACCCAGTGTGAGTTTTAAGCCGCCTGGTCTGGGACTCAAATTGCTATCAACTATGCCCAGTGACCTAACCATTACACCCTCTGCTGGCTCCTTAATATTATATTCTTTCTAGTATTTTAATTTTATTTTTATGTGCACTTAAAATATTTTCTAATGAATATCACAAACATGCCTTTATTTTTATTTTTTTATTGCCACAGGGCACATGTGCTCGCCAGAGAGAGAACACACCCTCCCCACTGAGGCATGTTACAGGGCAATCTTTTTCCCCTGATTCTCCTTCCTGCCAGGATGTTGGGCATGCATGCACATACACTGATGTGTTTCTCAAGCATCAGGGACTGCATTTGAACCATGGTCGGCCATGTGGATTCTGACTCCCAGATCACAGGGCTTAACCACTGTGCTAATTATGGGGCTGGACTAAAAATTGTAAATAGTAATATTGCTGTATAATGCTTTATCAGATTTCTTTTTGATTTCTGAGAGGGGTGGAAATGTCCTTTTAAATAACTTTTCCAGTCATTAACATATGCTCCTCAGCAATGGATCGTTTGCCAGAGACGATGAACCAGGTTAAATATTTTAGGAAGAATTTACTAATTCATTCCATTTCAGAGAACATTGATCTGAAAAGTCTGAATTAGGAAAGAGTTTAAAATGAAAAATGGTGCTAATATTTTCGGTAGGGATAGGAGAAGCTAGGATTCGAGAACTTGAAAATGATTTAAAAGACAGATAGATAGAAATTTTGGTTGATTTGTTGGTTAATATAACTGGTACTGCATGCTTTCTGAGAAGTGGTATAAGTGGTTAAGGCACTAGGCTCCCATGTGACTGACTGCAGTTTGAGTCTTGGACCTGGAGGCTTGCAATCATGCTGGGTGCCTATGTGTGTGCCCAAAATCCCAGAAAGAGAATGGAGGAGAAGGGATTGTGGCATGGCCATTTTCCTGGGGGTTGGGAGGTGAGTGCTCACTTTTTCTCTTCTCTCTGGAGAGCGCACATGCCGTATAGCAAAAAATCTCTCTCTCTCTCTCAAAAAAAAAAAAGTATAGCCAGCTTAAATATATACTTTATGAAGATTGTTTTTACTCTCCATTTCTTCCTCACACCTGTCCCCATAGACCACATAGATGTAAACAAAGTCAATAAGAGACTGTCTACATTTTTACACGTGCCTGCATACCAAGAGGATGGCAGGAATGACCTTGATTTGATGAGTAATTGTTCTTTCACTGAGTAACTCTCTGGTTTCCTTCTTTCAATTTAACACATTTTAGGTGAAGTCAGAAGAAATCTTTGACGAGTGGGTGTCCAAACTCCGTCACCACAGAATGTACCGTCAGAATGAGATTGCCATGTTTCCACATGAAGTTAATCACTTTTTCTCAGGATCCACCGTCACGGATTCTGCACCTGGGGTGTTTGACACCATTTCCAGTAGGAAGGTAATTCATGTTTTGCCAATAATAAATGTAAAAGAACGAGGTGGCTTCCTAGGTGAGTCCCATCATGGGAGGGTCTGAGAAAGGAAAGGCCTGTAGGGAGGAGCAGGTAAGCAAGAGCTATTTCAGTAGTCCATTTGCCCAGTGAGTAGAACCAGGATGAGCCTAACATCTGTTCATGGTGGGATAGTGGCTGAAGAACAGCCTGTGTGGAGGAATTCAATATCCCAGAATGCTTTAGCTCCCTGTTTACCAGTTTGACTTGGTGGTCTTGTCTCATGGTCAAATACAGTAGGTGTGTGCATAGCCACAGAGAATTAAATACTTCCAAACATTTTGTATCAACATTTTGGGATATTATCATCATTTGATAGAAGAAGAAAGTAAGGACTGCCATCTGAGGCCGTAGAGCATGGCGTGACCAAGTGGGGGTTGCAGCCAGAGTCTTAGGGTCTCCTGTAGAGAGTTTTTCTGGAGGCTTCTTCCTCCTGACAGGCAACTGGCCCACTCTATTATCCTTTAAAAGTGTCCCCGCTGGGCTCTGTTTTCATTTATAATGTGTTTTTGTCATCTGTGGAACAGCGTAGCAGTATATCAAAGCAGAATTCATTTCAAACTGGAAGCAATTTATCATTTTCCTGCGGCGGTGAGACACGAGTTCCATTATGGTTACAGTCGTCAGAGGACATGGAAAAGTGCTCAAAAGGTAGAGTGACTTGAAACCTCTGCTTCTTTCTGTCATAGCTCTTAAATTATACCCGTTTGGCATTTACACCTCAGATAACTCCTCTACATCCCCTCCCGTATTTGCTCATTAAGGCTGCACTCATCCACAAAGGACATTTCCTAGCCCTTCCTGACCTGGGGTAGGTTCTTTTTCTAGTCCTCCAGTGCCGATGCTGGATCTCCACATGGGTCTACAAATCACACTGTCCGGGGGTAGGGTCTGCACAGGTCTCTCTCTCTCTTTTTTTTTTTTTTTTTTTTTTTCTGGGTTTTTTACTTTAGGGCAGTGCGCTCAGAGAGGTTTTTACTATAGGGCACGTGTGCTCAGCAGAAGGACAGAGAGACAGAAAGTGAGAAATCACCCCCAAGGGGGGATGGCCACGCCACAATCCTTTCTCCTCCATTCTCCTCTCAGGATCTTGGGCATGCATGCATACATGCCCGGCATGAGTCTAAGCAACCAGGTCCAGGACTTGAACCACAGTTGGACTATATGGGAGTCCAGTGACATAGCCATTATGCCAACTGCTGGTCCCAATCTCTCATTTGTTAAGTGCCCAAAATTATTCTCATGCACATCAAAGGGTGAGAATCAGGATTCTAGAGGTGAGTGTGTGACCAAATGGAGACCCCTCCTCCCTCTCACAGTGCTGGTGTTCTCTGCCCTGGCACTCCATTAGAATGACCAGAACTGTTATAATATAGGTGTATCCACCTACAGGGGTACTCTCTTTCCAGAAACCTCTTTAAATAGGTCTGGGAGCATCACCCTGAGGTCACTGAGATTCTGAAATTCCTCAGGTGATTTTGATAAGGAATCAGAGTTGAAAAATCCTGCCATAAGGAAGCTCAGCCTTCTCAACATTTATTAGCTAAGACTCACCCAGGAACCAAAAAACAAAAATGTTGCCAACGGTACTGGGAGTGTTTTCATTTAATTGTCAGGCATGTGGGGTTGGGGGGTGAGTTGAGCATGTGTGATGTAAAAAAAACTTTTCAGTTGGTTCTAAAGTATAGTCAGGATTGAGAAAAACTACCAGAGAACAATGCCAGGTGGTTGCCTCGAAAATTGCACCTTATCTTGTTGCGTGTAGAGGGTATTCCTTCCTGAGGCGGTGTAGACTTTGCTTTGCCGATAAATCATGAGCATTACTGAGTGACATCTTAGTGACGTGGTCTCCGGAGTGCTGTCTTTGGAACAGCAACATCAACCTGGCCTGGGAACTTAATAGAAATGCAAATTCTCAGGCTCAACTCCTATGTACCAAATCCAAGACTATGGGTAGAGCCCAGTGATCTGCGGTGGAGTAAGCTCTCCAGGTGATCCGATGATACCAAAGGTTGAGAGCCACTACCCTAAGGCAGTTGGGCCTTGATACCTCAGCAGAAATAGCTGTCGGCATCCAGTGACCCGTGCGTTATGGACCATCTTTTGAGTTTGCTACTAGAAGAGGATGTGGTCTGAGAGTATGCTTTGTCCACTTAGGTCTGTCTGCTAGGCTCCTTATAGCCTTCATGGAGGTCCAAGATCGATAAAATTTTTCTTAGAGACCAGCATGAGTTTATTTTAATTTCATCCATTTAATGTGTATTGACAGCCTTATGTTGTAGGATTAGAAATGATGATGGCAAAATCATTGATTTATTTCGTTACTTCTATGTGCACCCTCCTGAGCACTCAGCCTACCTTCTCGTGTAACTCTCACAGCCATCCTGGGAGCCAGGTGTGGAATTAGCCCCGTTTTGCTGATGAGGGAACAGAGGCACAGAGAGATGATATAATTTGCCCAAGAGTCACAGTTCACTAAGCGGACTCATTGAGGCAGTCTGGTTCTCCAGATCCATGCCCTGAACCACCATAAGCTACGGATTTTCCTGTGAAAAAGAAATAAAATTCCCCACCCTAAAATTCCCCACCCTTGCAGATGAGAAATCAAATACAGATAAATAACAAGAGTAGCAGGTGCCAACATGGTGATCCCTCTTGCTAGTGGAGAATTGTGAGCACTCTCTTTCCCCACAGACTTGGCACACTGCCATGCCTATCTGGTGGAAATGAGCCAGCTCCTACAAAGTATGGACGTCCTGCATCGCACCTACTCGGCACCAGCTATCAACGCCATCCAGGTGAGCCAGACCCCCTCCTGTTCGCATTCTGGCATTCTTCTATTGATACTTTGCTTTCTCCTCCCCAGCCTTCGACTAACAGTGGGATGTTATCTGGTGATCGCCTCAGCCATGTGGCGGTCAATCCAATCCCCTGTGGATGGATGTGGTCACTTTGCTGTGTGTTTATCCCTATTGGTTTGGTGGACCTTATTGTCTGTGCTCTCTTTCCTGTTTTGCAACAAAGGGTGCAGCTTTTGAAAGTCCAAAAAAGGAAAAAAGATCACACAGGAGGTGGCGGTCCAGAGCTATTGGCAAAGATGCTAAAGGAACACTGCAGGTAACCATCACTTTTGCCAACAGACTGGTTTCTTCAGGGGCCCTGCATTGCACGCCTCATGCTAGGGGCCACTTTGGCTCAAATGGGAGAATAGATGAACGAATGTTCCATAGATTTCTCTCCAATACCCTGTCAAAGAGATGAAATCAATCACTTAGACGTTCTGGATACTAGGGTAAGCATATGCATTCATCCCTCAGTATCTGCAGGAAATTAGTTCTAAGACCCTCCCATATGAGATACCAAAATTCATAGATACTCAGGTTTCTATTTTTTGGAGAAGTTTTTGCTATAGGGCACGTGCACTCGCCAGACAGACAGAAAGAGACAGAGACAGAAAGTGAGAAATCACCCCCTGGGGGGAAGGCCACGCTGCAGTCCCTACTCCTCCATTCTCCTCTTGGGATCCTAGGCATACATACACATGCGCCTGGCATGAGTTTGAAGCCACCGGGTCTGGGACTTGAACCATGGTTGACTACATGGGAGTCCAGCAACATAGCCATTATGCTAACTGCTGGCCCCCCTCAGGTTTCTTATATAAAATGGCACTTCTTTTTATACTTTAAATCATCTCTACATTACTTATTTTATTTACTAAATGCTATGTGAATCATAGCTATACTTTATTGTAAAATGTGTTATTTTTATTGTTATACAAATACATTTTATTGTTGAAGTTTTTCCGAATATATTCGATCCTTGGTTGGTCACATCATGAATGTGGAACCCGCAGATATGGATAACTGACTGTAATGGATATTGGGCAGGGAGAGACTATTTTCTAAGGGATAAATGTTATGAGGTCGCAGGGACTGCTGTGATGTCTAGGACTCTGGCTTCCCCTCGTAATGTTCAGTCTGCCTGCTCTCTTCTCTACTTGAGTGTGTGCCTGCTTTGGTGCTGCTGTGGCCATGTGCACTGACCCTCCTCTGCTGTCGCTGATGTGCAGTAAATTTCCCATCCCGCTGAGTCCCCAGGCCTGAGCCTCTGGGAGCAGCACACTGTACAGACTCTCTTGCCATTATCTCCCAACTCTCAACCCTTGATCAGAGGTTCACTGTGTCATAAGTAGGAGCTGTCTTTCCCAATGCACAGCAAAACTACTGGCCAAGATTTGTGGCCTAGCTGTTTCATATTAAATTGGAATATTGTTAGAAACAAAATAACTCCCAAGCTTTTGGATAAATCATCTGATACTCTTGTGCACTCTTTGGTTCAAGGCATTTTGTAAGTTGACATTACGTACTTTTAAAGTAAAGAATATTCCATGTACAGATGTGAGAAGTTAGTTTTGTAGAAGCCCCAGATGCAAATACAGAAAAGCATTTTTAAACCTATCCACTGTTAACAGCCGAGATACTGAATGACTGGTGCCAGGAGGAGGGGATTGAGTATAAATGAGATAGTCTGGCAACTTTAGCTGTTATTTCCAACTTAGAGCTTTAAAGCTTCTGTCATTTCCAAAAGAATATGCGATTTTTCACTCATTTTTATTTCACAAGAAGCAAGGTGATGTGAGCAGTATTTTCCCAAGTTTTCGCCTATTTTTCTTGCATGCTATTATTCAGTAGAAAGACTTAGCTGTAAGATGTTCTTCTCTTCATATACTCCAGTCTTAAAACCGAGAAAATATTCTAAGCAATCCGCATCTGAAAAGAAATATCTCCCTTTGGTGTCACTTTAGGTCCCTAAACCTTTTTCTGGTCCAGTAAGACTTCATTCCTCCAATCCTAATCTGTCAACGTTAGATTTTGGAGAAGAGAAAAATTATTCTGATGGCTCTGAAACCTCATCAGAGTTTTCAAAAATACAAGAAGATCTGTGTCATATTGCCCATAAAGGTAAATGAGTTTTCTTTCTTCCTAATGTGTCTGAAGAAATGTTAAATGCCTGTCTGAATGTGGGATGTCTTTGGAGAGGGTATCTTAGTTGGTTCATTTTCTGCTCTATTAAGATTTTGAACAGCCTAGCTTCATTTTTATTTTATTTCCCTGGCAGAGTGTACTGCTAAGAAGTGTCTTTTTTAACTTCTGTGGGAGGGAATGAGAGTATTAGATAGACTTTAAAACCTGAGCAATTCATATGATGCTGATGGGTGTGTGAACTGGTACTTACCTGGAGGAAGATATGACATCACATTCCAACTATTTCTTTTCTTTTTTTTTAAAAAGAGTTATTGACTTAATTTTATTTATCATTATTATTTTTTAACCTGCTACGGAGGACATGTGCTCAACAGAGAGAGAGAGAGAGAGAAAGTGAGAAAGCAAGTTGGTAGGTCCAGGACTCGAACTGTGGTCAGCCATGTGGGAGTCCAACACCCTTAACTACCACACCATCTGCTGGCCCCCAACTATTTATTTTAATCTGCCTTTCCATCAATCTTACTTTGCAGAATCCATTTGTAGGAATTAATTCATTTAAAATGTATCCAAATAAATATATTCACTGTAGCATTGTTTATCATTTCAAAAATTAGAAATAGGTGTTCAACATCATTAGCTACTGGAGAAATAAGAATTAAAGCCATGATAACATGTCACCACAGGACCAGTCAGTGGTATGGTGGTTAAGGCCATTGGATCCCACACGGCCAACCGTACAGTCCGAGGCCCAGACCTGGCGGTTTGAGAAACACGGGAGTGTGGGTGTGTGTAACCAAAATCCCAAAAGGAGGGAGAAATGAAGGAGAAGGGATTGGGGTATGACTATCCTCTATCGGGGGATGCTTTCTCACTTTCCCTATCTCTTTTTCTTTCTCTCTCCAGCAAGAGCATATACCCCCTGGCAATTTTAAGGGGGGGGGGGAAGTTATCACCAAATCCCTGTTGGAACAACTAAAAATAAAAAGAAAAATATAGTACCACATGCTGGTGAAGATTCATAGAGATATAGGATGCATATAGTTACAGAAACTATAGCTCTCATATATAGCTCCCAGCCAGATAAAACACAGGCACTCTGGAAAATAGTTTGGCAGAGTTATATGAAACTAAACATTTACTTACCCTACAGCTCAACACTCACATTCTTGGGTACTTATTCTGAGGAAAAAAAGATCCATATGAACATGAATGTTTAGAGCAGGTTTATTTGTGTTAGCCAAAGACTGGAAACAACTCAAATGTACTTAAGCACATGAATGGTTACACTGTGGTACACCCATACTATGGAGTATACTCACCAATAAAAAGGGATGAACTATGGACATACACAGCAACTTGGATGGGTCTCAAGGTCGGTATGCTTGGTGAGAAGAGCCAGTCGCAGAAGGTCACATAGTTAAACAACAACAACAACAACAAAAATTCACAGTATATAGTTGCACTCATGTAACACTTTTGAAATTATATAGAAAAGAGATTATTAGTTGCCAGAGGTTAAGGAAAGGGGAGGAGTATGGGTATAATTATAATGGGTTAGCTTAAGGGTCTTGGTTGTGAAGAAAGTTCTGTATCCTGATTGTAGTGCTGGCTACGTGAATCAGCACATGTAACACAGCTGCATTGACTTATACCCACACATATACACAAATTAGTGCATGTAAATCTGGTGAAATCTGAGTAAGAGTCCTAGATTATACTAACATCAGTCTCCTGGTTTTTATTTTGTATTATAGTTATGTAAGATGTTACCATTAGGAGAAACTGGATATAGGATTACATGGGACTTCTTGTACTGTTTTTGCAATCATCTGTGAGTTTATAACAATTTCAAAATAAAAAGTTTAAAAGAATTAGAAATAACCTAACTGCACAGTAATAGGGGATTGATTTATTTTTCTTTCAATGCCATATAATCATATAAGAGAATACTCAGCCACAGTGATAATCATCATATCTAACTTATATTGAGTTGTCATGTCAAGTATTTGCTAAATACTTTGCATGCATTGTTTCTTTTCTTTCTATTGAGTCTATGTATAAATCCGTCATGACTTTCCCAGCAATCCAACAGCTGCAACCTATAGAATACATATTATTGTAATCTCCACTGTGTAGATAGGAACCCGAGGGGTAGAGAAGCTAAAGAACTTCCTGAGCATCACATGGTTACAAAGCAGCCAACCTGAGTTGTGAATCCTAGCTTGGCTGACTCCATAGTCCACACTCCTTTCCTGGTGTTTCATTGTCCTTATGTGTAAGGTGGCCAGTGAACTATTTTATAGACATAGAAAGATTTAAAACAAATTTTTTTTCAAGATTACAAAATAGTATATAAATATGATCCCAATTTTCAGGAAAAAAAAAAAAGAAAAAGAAATCTATTTCTGGCATATATGAAGGGTCTTCAGAAAGCTCATGGAAAATGTGCATTATGAACAAAAATCCTGTACATAGGATTTCAAAATTTTTGCACCAAAATAAATTCCTACTTTAATTCCATTTTACCCCTGAGTGCTCTCTCTCTCTCTCTCTCTCTCTCTCTCCCTTTCTCCCTTTGACAAGCAGATAAAGGCACATTTTGTTTAATGATCGATCCTTCTTTATTTATGATAGAGTGTGTGCACACACATGAGGGAGAAAGAGGAGTACTCTCCACAGAGTCTGATCAAGCCATGATGACATGATCTGCTTTCTCCAGGTCTTCAGAGCAAAGATCTTGGGGAGTGGCACATGCATGGTTCAGGCTGACTGGGCCGGGAATTTGATCTGGGGTCGCATGGGGGATCCAACTTCTCTCAAACAGTACATTACTGGCTACACCGTGGAGCAAGCCTATCCACAGACTTTTACTTTTTTTTTGGCGAGAGGGCACGTGTGTTTGCCAGAGAGAGGGAGAAGAGGAAGCACCCTCTAGGGGAATGGTTACGCTACAATCCCTTCTCTGTCTCTCTGTTTTAGAATTTTACACACATGTGCACTCCCACCTGGAGTTTCCCAAGCCACTGAGTCCAGAACTCAAACCATGTGGTTGGCTGTGTGGGAGTTGGCTCCCTTATCCACCAGGCCATGGTACCATGAAATCCTTTCATATAGACATTTCAAGTAGTCTGGAAGAATATTCACCAACATTTCCGTGACCAAGGCTGGCATTACAAGTACTTACTATTTTCTTAATTTTTTTCATTTTCATATATTGGTTATTTTTCTTCAAGAGAAAATGAATTAAAACTTTTAGGTGGTAAAGCAGTGCTTGAAGTGAGAGGAGAGGAAATATTCCATCTATTGCTTCCTCTCCGGGCCCCGTAGGTTTCTTCTTTCACATTGTGGGTCACGTAAACTTTCTCTTCCCTTACCCACCATGTCAGCATGAGGTTGGTTATAAGAAAACCATGTCATGCACTTTACAGATTCCCTACCTCAAACCCTTGTCCTAATTACTACTGGAACCTGATCAATATTTTACAATGCTGTTGTATAATCCCTCTGTAAAATGGAAGAGTTGCCTGATCCACCCCTTAAAAGCTCCTTGACTAGCCTCTTGGGCATTCTCTAGTATTAAAAGAATCTGTTGTAATTAAGGCATTTTAGATTTTGTGAGAGGAGATTCCTGTAAAATATCATTACTTTTTAATAATATGAGCTGTCTTTTTAAAACTGAGCAGATGTCTTCACAAAAAGAAAACATCCTAAATTGTACTTAAATTGAAGAAGCTGCTTCCTCAGCAGGACAGAGGTTGCTATATTGAGTGGCTCCATTGATCCAGTCCTCCTGCAGAGACCTCCACCTTGTTGGAAGTCTATAATGGGCCCCAGCCAGCTGTTCTGTCTTTGGGTTTTGTGAAAGCCAGCTGGCTGTAGGGCTGCCACATACCAGACTAGGTCAAGGTCTGTTCTGGAAGAAGTGTCCAAGTGTACTTATTCAGCAACAGCCTGAGCCCCATGGGCCTACAGACAACCAGTCCACAGGGAAACCCACCAGCTGGGGTTTTAAAATACAGTTGCGGTTTTAAAGTACAGTTGCGGTTTTAAAGTACAGTTGCAGAGCCTGAAAGACCTTCCTTTGACTAGTTAAGAAGTTGTTTTACACAGGGACCAGCAGTTAGTGTAATGGCTATGTCGCTGGACTCCCATGTAGTCAGCCACGGTTCGCGTCCCGGACCCGGTGGCTTAAACTCACGCTGGGCACGTGTGCGTGCATGCCCAGGATCCCGAGAGGAGAAGGGAGAAGAAGGGATTGCGGCATGGCCATCCCTTCTGGGGGTAATTTCTCGCTTTCTGTCTCTCTGTCTCTCTCTGTCTGTCTGGCGAGAGCACGCACCCTATTGCAAAAACCTCTCAAAAAAAAAAAAAGTTGTTTTACGCAGACTGTAATTCCAAGGCTTCATGGGATGAAGAGATCTCTCAGGTTTCCTCAAGTTGTGACCTTGTCTGCTTTCTTACTTCTCAATAACTCAAAGTATCTTATTGTATCAACCTTGCTTTGTTACCAACAGTATCTACTGTATTGTATATTTTGTTTGTTTTTTTTTGTTATGAAACTTTATTTGAAAATCAGCAGTTAGGAGACCAGTAGTTGGGGTAATGGCTATGTCCCTGGACTCCATGTAGTCAACCACGGTTCAAGTCCCAGACCCGGTGGCTTAAACTCATGCCGGGTGCATGTGCATGCATACCCAAGATCCTGAGAGGAGAAGAGAGAAGGATTGTGACATGGCCAACACCACCACCACCACCCCACCACCCCCGGGGAGTGATTTCTCGCTTTCTGTCTCTCCATCTCTCCGTCTCTCTCTCTCTCTGTCTTTCTGGGGAGTACACGTGCCCTATAGCAAAAATCTCTCAAAAAACCCCCCCAAAACAGCAGTTAGGTCTTATCCTCATTGACTGTCTGTGGATTTTTGGAGGTGGTAACAGGTACGTAGGTCACCAGAGCTTGTTGGGTGAGACTTCAACCT